ATACAGGCATACAATTATTAATCAAATCAGGATAATTGGGGTATCCATCACCTCAAGCATTTATCATTTCTTTGTGTTAGGAACATTCTGATTGCTCCTTTAGTTGTTTCCACGTATACCCTAACCTACTGTTGGTCAGAGTCACTTTGTTGTGCTATCAGATAGTGTTCATTCTATGCATCTGACTATATTTTGTGCATGCATTCTTCTAAACTGAGAATGCTAAGGTATTCAAAATTTCTAAAAAATATTATCTTGAGAACATTAGCACAAGTCAAATGATCATTTAAATATCCATCTTTTCAATAAGTTCTCTGCAACATTTCAAGTTGCAAATATTAAAATTCTTTTTCTTGTTATCATCTTTCCTAAAAGCTACTGGCTATAGATAAATAGTGTTCACCTTCCTAAGTGTTCACCTTTCCTAAGAGGAAAATATTATTCTTATTTTACAGATAATGATATTGAGTCTCATAGAAGAGGACCATCTTCTGCTACCCTGAAATCTTCTAAAAATCCTCACTAGAAATTCTTCCTGGTAGGAGGGTATTATTTCTAGGGTTGGTGTATATTACTAAAGGATCCAGGGATCCTTTCATGTATTCAGACTTACGACCCTTTGGGCTCCACCATCCCCTCCCCTCCACTCACCTCCCTTCTCCCCACCTCCCAAATATAAAAATAAAAACATGCATGCATGCTCTTTTGAAAAGAAACCATTGCAAGAAAGAATGTTTTACTACATGAGTTTTCAAGACACTTTCTCACAACATGTTATGAAGGAGCTGGACATGGAAACATCACAGGAACAGCTTTACAGCATACACCAGTACAAATCAAACACATTCCCAACTCCATGGGCCTCTGTATACTCATGAGTCCTGAGAGTAATCAAACTGAGTAAAGAAGTTGCTAGAAAGATGAGGAGGGGGAGAAATAGGGCTTTGTGACAGTTATGTTACATACATGAGCAGCACATGTAACACTGTTATAGATCCACAAGGACATTTTAGAACTGTTAATTCAAATGATTCATTCCAACTCAATTTATTAATTAAAACAGAGTCTCTCTATATCAGACCAATAATAATCTTTTTTTGTTGAGGCGAGCAATGATTTCTCTTATGTCGAAGCATAAAACAGCTTTATATGAGAAAAGGATTAACTAGGAAAACATGAAACTGTATCAAAAATATATGTATGCCAATTAAGTAAACTGGGATTGACAAACAATACAAATACTGATGATGATGAAAATAAAACTAGTTAAAATTATAGATGGTCTTGGCAGACATCAAAAATCCCATAGGACAAATACTGCCAGTTTTCTGAGAAACAGAGAAGTATAAATACTAATTATTGTTCAAGTTATACTTCTGAGATTTAGGCTATTTATTATTTGAGGTGATAGGAAAATTAGGGACCATTAATAAGGGATGTATATTTGAATTTCCCAAAGTTACTTTCTACTAAACTATTATGTTAGGAATAACTAATATATTTATCAATTAATTCATTAGGCAACCACTAGGAGCCAAGTCAAATGCCAGGTTGCAGGAATGGAGTTTACAGTCAGGTTGGTAAGCTTGCTTTTAGTGGCAATAGTCATATGCCTAAAACTTTGATTACATCTTATGTAACCAGTGCTTTTTTCACCCTAAAATACAAGCACTATATTAATCATTAGGTAATTATTCTTCCCTCAGAGTGTGCTTAGTATTCCATCTTTAGACACACACACAACTGCCATAAAGCTGGTATTAACCTACATTTCTTTAGTTTAAAACACTACTAAGGAAATATACATTAATTCTCTTCAGATGCAAACATTTTTATACATACTGTTTTAGAATGAGATTCCACTCATGTATATTGTGCTCACAGATCTTTAATTTCTTAAAGAATTTAATACCTAAATTTCTTTTTCAAAAGTTCAGTATAACCTTCCAATGTTCATTTCTGTTACCAGGTAATTCCTATTCTATTACAATATAACAAAATTCAGAAGATTATAGTAATTAGTCCTGATAATCTTCAATAAGAGTTTGAGAACATACACTTCATAAACGCTTCTGATGGGAAGAGGACCACTTAATTTAATGTTACAAATATTCTCAATAAGCAATTTGGTGGGCAATTCTGGGGCAGAATCTTAATGACATCATAGACTTTGAAACAAATGTTGAATTATTACATTAAACAGAATTTTCACCATCATGCTGATTCTTAGTGTTTAAAATGTCACTCTATCCAATGGGCAAGCTTAAAATAAATGGACATTCTCTCAGTATGAAAGATAAGTCATTTTCTGCGCATTTTTTCCTACAATTTTAGTGTTTGGAACCATAATTCTTTTAACAATATGATCATTCTCTGATCTTATTAAGGAATGGGTAGTCTTATAATGGGTTTATATCTAGTAATTTTCTCTAAAACATTCTTACTTGACCACTGTACGTTAATTATCCAGAGGGTAGAATGGGTGGCCCATCTTCTATGAATATATAGTAAAAGGTAAACTAAGAGAAAGGACCTTTAGGATAATTGTAGAATTATCACACTCAATATTTTTCCAAGTATTATAGTTTTACTTTTATAATATTCCTTGAAAATTATTGTTATGAATATAATTACATTACATGTGTACTCTGAAGCCAGAAAATATTAGATTTGCTTTTAGCTATTCAGGGCAATTTTTGAAATGTTAGAATAATATAAAAAATGAAATTAAAAAGGGAAAGAATACTACTCTAAGGTGGTATGAAATTGGCTGAGTAGCAGGAAGCCAAAAATGTGAAATTCTGAGCATTCCAGCCACGGCAAGTGTCCTCAGGCAGAAAGTAGCTGACTGCTTCGAGGAACATCAGGAAAGTCAGTTTGAGTCTGTTGAAGGGGGAAAAAAAGAGCAGGAAGCAAGGAGGTCAGAGATAGGGGTGGAGGCCATGTCAGATTTCAGGACAGGGTGGGAATGGGGGGAATTTATGTTTATGTTCTCAGGAGAAGGGAAGTAATGGGAGTGTTTTAAGAAGGAAAGTAACATAATTTGAGTTACATTTGAAAAGGAATGCTTTGGTCTCTGTGTAGAGACTGGCTTGTGTAGGGTGAGTGCATGGAGGGAAATGGGTTTGGGGCTTGCCACAATAGACTAGGTAAGGAAATAGGGGGATCCTAAACCTATATCCTAAACCAATGTAGTGGGAGTGGCCGAGGTAGAGAGATGCAGGTGGACTTGACATGCATTTTCGTGGCATAAAGTTCAGGGTTTATTCTGAACTGAATATAGAGCATGGAGGAGAGAAGAATCAAAGGATATCCAGATTTTTGACTTGAAAAACTGGGCTGATGGCTAATGACTCCACTTATTAAGATGGGGAAGGCAGGAGAAGAGCAGGTCAGGGCAGGGTGAATGATGTTAAATTTGAGATGTCTACTAGAAATCCAGGTGGAGATGCTGAGCGAGCAGCTCCTTTACAAATTTGGAGTCTGGGAGAGAGCAGGATTAGAGACGCAAATGTGGGAGTCATTGGCTGATGGACATATTTACAGCTGTGGGTCCAGATGGGGTCAGCTATGGGAACTCATAGATTGAGAAAATTGCCTGGAAAATGCTTGAATAATATGTCATGGTTGAGCTTTATGTTGGAAGAAGAATAGAATTTAGGATAAAAATTGGAAGTGGAGTTCAGTTTTTAGTAGGTTACAGTTGATGCAATCTAAGCAGAGATGTCAAGCAAATAGGGGATATGAGTTTGGGGTCGAGGGGAGGCCGGAGTTTGAGAGATTAAGAAGCTAAGAGTTATGCATGCACCTAGGAGCTCTACTAGTTAGCTGGACATATTTTAAAATTTCTAATTATCACATAGCTAGTCTTCAAGGTATCTTGGTTACTGATGACTGAAAGATGAGGAAACTGAGAATCAAAGAATTATCTGGCCCAAGGTCACAGTTAATCAGTGGCAGACTCAGTGGGCAAAACTCCTCTTTATCCTGTTATAGATTCCTTCTTGGAAGAGCTCAGTCCACAGCCTGTGATGCAAATACCTTATGAAACTGTTTAGCCTATGGCTGGAATAAAGGCAGCTAGCACACTTAGGAAACATCCATAAGCATCTGGAAAGTGGTGACATGAGATAATTCCTTGCCAGTGTTTTCCTAGGAAATGGTCTTATAGAATTAGAAAGAATTTAGGTTGTCGTTAAGGCTATCACTTTGTCTCAAACGATGAGAAGGAAAAACATAAATACCATTTAGTTCTAGTAAAACTACTTTATTATGGCTAATACCTTTCAAATCATACTCTCAGTAATAATACAACAACTCAGAGTTAGCCTGAGAAGTTAACAGTAGCTTATCTGATTTGAGAAATCAAATAAAAATATTGAGTGCAACTTTAACAATTAAAGGAACAAAGTAAGTTTTTGTGGTATCATAAATCCTGTTGTGGTATTATCTACTTAATACTATTTATTCTATTTATCAGTGAACATCTATTAAAGAAATCACTTAACTGTGTTTGGAGGTATATATATCTGAACATAGCATGAATGCCTAGAATCCTCCAAATTTTATTTCAGAATAGGAATAAGCTAATAAAAATTAACTTTTGGCAGTTGACACAGCATTTGGATATTATTTCTTTTCTTTACTTTCTTTTTTTTTTTTTTGAGACATAGTCTCAAGCTGTTGCTCTCAGTAGAGTGCTGTGGTGTCACAGCTCACAGCAACTTCAAACTCTTGGGCTTAAGTGATTTTCTTGCCTTAGCCTCCCAAGTAGCTGGGACTACAGGCGCCTACCACAAGGCCCGGCTATTTTTTTGTTGCAGTTGTCATTGTTGTTTAGCTGGCCCGGGCCAGGTTTGAACCCTCCAGCCTTGGTGTATGTGGCCGATGCTCTACCCCCCGAGCTACGGGAGCTGCCTGGATATTAATTCTTATGTCCAGCCTTTATATATTTAGCTCTTCTCCAAGAATCAAAAATCAGAGGATAAAATACACTGATGAGATACAAATTCTAGGAAAAAAAGTTAAAATATTACTCCTCAGGAAAGTTTATTTTATTTTCCTCCTGCTTTCTGCAGTTAGGAAAACGAGTAATACTCGATGTTCTTGTTAGAGTAAAGGCTTGAGTTTGGGGCGCTGTTTGGTGGTAGGGTAAAACAATTTGTGCCTTGCACACTTCTGTTTTGAAGAACAATCCTTCTTCTTTTTTGTTTTTTTGTTAGGAATGTCAATACTGCTAATATAGGAGATGTTCCTTCATGAGACTGTAAGCCTCACTTTTTTGCCTTTTTTTTTTCTTCTTCTTTTTAACCTCTGTATCCTGAAAAGGAAACAAAAGCCAACACAAAAGTCAACAAGAGGAAAGAGTCAAGAAAGGCAGAGGACTGGGCCTGGGGCCAAGAGGCAGCAGAGGAGACACGGGACTGGCCAACCTGAGCGCAGAGGGCAGCAGGCAGAGAAGGGAGGAAGAGGACAAGCAAAGCCCAGGAGACCAGAGTGCAGGAAGGAGGAGAGAGGCAGGGGAGAAGGGAGAGAGGTGGGCAAGGAAGGGGGAGAAGCAGGGCGAGGGAGTCCAGAGAAAAAGGGGCTTTTAGTGTTTTAAGTCACAGGAGATGGGGGGGAAGCAAAGGAACTAGGGGGACCAGAAAGGAGGTGTGAGAGACAAGAGAAATCAGAGACCTTGTTTGGAAGCACTTTGCCCGTGGCAGGAACTAGAGAGATATTAATTTCATTCATTCAAATTAATTGCAAACTCTACTTTCTTAAAAAAAATCCTAAGTCAGGGTGGCGCCTGTGACTCAAAGGAGTAGGGCACCAGCCCTACAGGTTCAAACCCAGCTCTGGCCAAAAATAAAAATCCTAAATCACTCTGAAATAAAGTTAATTTTATGGAATCCTGTAGTTTTAAGAGCATGGAATTGAATACTACTACCACCTAGACTCTTGGAGACCTGGGGTAAAGTTAAACTCTCTGAAGATCTGGGAAAGGGAAATTGTTTGACAATACCAGGGGAGTAGGGAATAATGAAAGCCAATGCTTTTAAAGATAACGCTTACTTCTCCTGCCATAAAGCACTATTCTAAATGGTTTACATATATTAGTTCAGCACTCACAAGAAGCTTATGAGACACCTGCAAGTTTAAGTAACTTGTACCGTGTCATATATCTCGCGAGTAAAAGAGGTGGGTTTTTAACCTAAGCAGTCTGGTTTCAGAGTTGGTGCCATCTGTCACTTCATACACATCCTCTTAGGGATGGCAATAAAGTACATAAATACAGTTCGAGAACATGATTATCCCTAAACCAGGACGAATCTTATTCAAGATCAAAACAGCAATTATAACTAGAGGAACAAGCCTCTTCCTTACCATCTCTAAAGGAAAAACTGTAATAAAAAGAAAAGAGAGGAGAAAATATACAGAGGGCCGCTGAGACTAGTAAAGGTCCATTTTACCTGAAATGGCTTCTTGACTGAGATTATGTTGTTTTTTTTTGGCCAGGGTCAGGTTTGAACCCACCACCTCCGGTATATGGGGCTGGCGCCCTACTGACTGAGATTATGTTATTTGTGGACTTTCTTCCTCACTTTTTGTCTTCTTTTATATAATCAAACTCTTGCTAATATTTGATTCCCAATTTCCTTCAGAATTATCTTTGGGATTGTCTTTTCTTCTCCTAAGGGGAATGCCACAACTGGATTAATAAAACAAGAATTTGAAGCCAGAGAGGAAAGGCAGTGTAAGCAGACAGAAGCCAAGAGTTATAATGCACTGCCATTGAATTTAAATATTTTAATTGCTCCTCAAGTGCAAAATCACTTAGAAACCAACTGGTGAATCAGGGTTAGCAGCTTGTGAGGACTGAGCCCCAGGAGGCACGAAGATGTTGGAAGAAAAAGAGAAAGAGTCTTTATTCCTCCCATCCTTGACTTGTGGGTTAACTACACCCCACAGCCCCAGGCTATTCTACATAACATATTGTGAGAAAGCAAGAATCACTCGAGGATAGACTTGTAAAAGTACAAATTTCTCCCTGAACACTGCAAATCTCTTCCTCAACAAGAGTCTTATATACTCACTTTTTCATTGTAGATGTCCCCCAGCATCGTACTTGCTCTCACAATATCCAGGCTTTGGAAATTGTTTCTTGCAAGTTTCACAACTTTTTCCAAGTAGTTAATTGCTTCCGTGGTCTTTCCTTGGCTAGAATGAAATAGGAAATCATTGGAGTATCATCTCAGTGTCTCAGTGAAGAAAAGGTATTTTGTGCCTTTGCTGGTAGAAAATGCAAGTCCGTCATCAGGATGATGAGATTTAAAGGGAGAATACCAATTCATAAATACGACTCGCTTTTGTTGGCGTATACAGGGAGTTAAAACTGAAACTTTTAAACTCTCCTATGTTGCTGATGGAAATGTAAAACAATATCACTGCTTTGGAAAACAAGTTTGGTGGCTCCTCAAAACGTTTCAACACAGAGCTACCACATCACCTAGAAATGTCACTCCAAAATATAATACCCAGGAGAAACAAAACATACATCAACACAAAACCTCATACGTACAGGTTGGAAACCTGAAGCTTATCAGCTGATGAATGGGCAAACCAAATGTGGGTAACCACACAATGGGATATTATTCAGTTTTAAAAAGGCCTGACTTAGAGGTCTGTGTTACAACATGGATGAAGCTTGAAAACACATTGATTGAAAGAAGTCAAACACAAAAGATCTCATACACATATTATAAAACACATTAGATCTCATACACACGTTACAAACCCTTACTTAGGTAACACGTCCAGAATAGGGAAGTCCATAAGACAGAAAGTCGGGTCGGGTCCTGGGTGCTAGAGGCCACAGAGTGGGGGCAGTGAAGAGTGACTGATAATGAATACTGGCTTGCTTTTTTTTTTTTTTTAATTAAATCATAGCTGAACATTAACAGTGTACATTAATGTAATCATGGGGTACAATGTGCTGGTTTTATATAAAATTTGAAATATTTTCATTAAACTGGTTAACATAGCCTTCATGGCATTTTCTTAGTTACTGTGTTAAGACATAAAATTAGATAGTGGTGATGGCTGCACAACTCTGTGAATACTAAAAACCACTGAACTGTAGACTTTCAAAGGTTGAATTGTATGGCATGTCAATTATCTCAATAAAGCTGAGATATAAAATAAAGTATATTTTTAAATTATAAAACCTATAGAAAGTTTATGAAAGATGAATTCTTGTTTATTCTTCCAAGTATCTCTGAGCAGTGAAAGTTCAGGTGTCACTAAAGTCACTAGACACCTTATATATTCTTGCAAAATGCTCAGAAAGATGTAAAATTCCCAGCAGAGTGTTTGCCATATATTAGGTATTGATATATTTATGAATGGAGGAATGTTTGAAGTTTGAGAAGGGGAGGGCATATACTGCACATCTGAGAGTTAAGCTCCAGGTAAACTGTGTGACCCTCAGTCATGTGGATGTTTGGAGTCTGTGCTAATAAACTCGCAAGTGTCCTAAAATATGGTAGCTGAGTGGTTCCTTGTCTTCGAAGAGTTTCACCATCAACCTGGGGAGATAAATGTCTAACTCCCTACCTGGGATTAACGGTGACAGGCACTATGACTTGCATGTACATGTAGTGCGTTGATGCTTGGAGCACACTCATTTCACTCTCTTCGTAAGAGCAGGTCCAGAATGTGTTGGGTGAATTTGATCTTACAAGGCAGCCATGTAGTCAATGAGATGGTGATCTCAAAGAGTTTATAGAAATTTGGAAAGTTGTAATAGGTTCTGTGGGCGACATCGGAGCTGTATAAAATGAGCACCTGCGCCTGCAATTCACAGGCCACCTGCTCCAGTCCACGTTCCTTCCTTTCCACCTTCATTCAGCTTTTCCACATATAGGTTGGGACCATCCTTTCTTTCTCCAAATGCTTTTCCCTCTCCAGTGTCTAAAATACTCAGCCATTCTCTAATTTTTTCTGTGTCTCTTATTTTTTTCCCCCGGATCCCTCAATGTCAGTGAGGTCTATGACCACATAGAGTTAGCTTTTCTAAAAGTTCCATCCAGGGTCTTCCTCTCCTCTCCACTGAATGCATACTGGAAAGTTTCCTACTACAGCAGGACTTGACTACCATATACACATATGGAAAAATCTATATTTCTTTTTTTTCTGCTAAGATTTATTTATTTATTTATTTATTTACCTTTTTAAAAGTTTGATTTATTTAGATGTACGAGTGGTTTTGGGTTACATGGGTGAGTTGTACACACGAGTGTGTTCCAAGTGGTTGGTGATGTCTTGATGTCTGGGTTTTTAGTGTACCTGCACCTAATAGGTGGTTTCTCTTCTCAACCGTGCTTCTGAATCTCCAGTGCCCACTGTACTTCCATATGCCCCTGCACATAGCTCCTACTTACACATGGAATATACAGTACTGGTTTTCTTTCCTTGCGTTATTTCACTTGAGATAATGGCCTCAAGTCCCACTCAAGTTGCTGCAAAAGATCTTATTTCATTCTTTTATATCACTGAGTAGTATTCCATAGTGTATATACACCAGATTTTCTTTATCCACTCAGTGGATGGACACCTAGGTCGATTCCATTTCTGCGCAATTGTGAATTGTGTTATAGTAAACATATGATTGTCTTTTTGATATCATGACTTCTTTTCTTTGGGGGAGATGCCCAGTAGTGGAACTATTGCATCAAATGGTAGATCTACTTTTAGTTCTTTGTGAAATCTCCATATTATTGCAAAATCTATGTTTTGAGCCCTGATTTTTCCACCTCTAGAAAAATCTATGTATTTTTCCATCTATACTTTAGATCCATCTTTCCATTTCATTGCCTAGAAATACAGAGCAACGGACGACAGCTCCCTCCAAGTGGTTATCGTCAAAGATGTCATTTAATGATGGAGCTGGTGGCATTTTTAGATACCTCTTTAGAGAACGCCTTCATAGTGTACTATAACAAAGCATTCATATGTAATTTAATGAATTTTGTTCAGGAAATGAGTTTCGTACTGTGTTTTCTAAATTTGACTCCAAATTCTTTTAGCTGTTGCTAAAGACCAAACCCACCTCTCAGACAATGTTGCTCAGCAACTGGTGCTATTCAAAAGAACATATCACAGCCCAGAGAGCATTTTCAAAGATGTTTATGTTAAACAGGAATTGGCATGATTAGAATAGGGTGACCAGATTTTAACATCTGTAAGGCGGGACAACATGGCCTGGCGGAGCAGGGGTAGAGCAGGGGGCGAGGGGCAGGGGCAAGGGCAGGGCAGGGCCTGACAACAAGGCAAACTTTGATAAGCAGTTCTCGATAATCACTTCTCAGCAATTATTTA